AAGAGCTGCCCCTGAATAGCTGCACTGCTGCAGCAGCAGCCAGGGTGTTGATGAGATAGAGGCATCATCCCTGGTGCTTGCTGCTCCCATCTGCTTGGCCACTTCTCTTTCTGTCTCTCCAAGTCCATCGTCTGGGGTTGGACACCTGAGAAATGCAAGCTGAGCAGCAGGACACACCATTTCCAGTGTCAGCTGGGAGCCAGGACCTCAAGCTGGACCACTTTGAGTTAAACATCTGACCTAACGTTAGGCAAGATTAGTCCTGCTGCCACAGGAGTTAGGGAAGAGCTGTGTGGCTGTGTGGACTTGCCTGGGGCCAGGGACACGCAGGAAGCACAGCAGCACTGTTACTTCTCTGCCAAATCCCCTGGGAGACCAAAGGCCAGCTCAGCACTGCAGCTGGCTGGGCAGAGTGTGTGCCCAGCTGCAGGACTTCTGCTGTGGGAAGGTCCTCAGAGCAGAAGGGAGACAGATGGTGTTCTGAAGCGGGGGGCTTCCAGCCCCTGGGTTGCTTCTGGCTTTTTTCTCCAGTGCCGATGCAAAAGCTGAGCTCTTGGCCAACAGAGGTAGGTTGGAAAAGGTGGTTGTGTCCCAGCACCGTGCCTCAGTTCCAAGAAACCTTCTGTGTGAGCTGATTCGATGTGGGGTGGGTTTGGATCCCTCTTCAAAAGGGCTAAATTCTCCCACTGCTGCTTCCTCTAGGCACCTGAAACCTCTTTTAGACTTCACCCTGAGTCCCCTCTGATTTTTCCATATCCAAGGGGACAGAAACCATCCCCTCTTGTCTCTCCCTGTCCCTCTGGCAGCCATGTCCCACAAACACAGCAATTACTAGAGGCCATGACAACCTTCCTCCCAGCTGAGCTGTACCTGTGCATCTGCCCTGCAGGTGAGCGAGAGCCCTTCCCTTGCCATCCTCCCACGATGCTGCTGCTGCTGCTGCTGCAGGTCTCAGCCAGCTGCCTCTGGCTGGGACAGGGCGAGGTGGTGACATCCTTTGAAAGGTCATGCCCTCAGTTTTTCTTCCGGGAAACGCCCCCAAATGAGGCCCTGGAGCCGGAGAGCCCCGTGTGGATCTGCCAGAGCTACAAGAACCAGCACTACTTTGCCACCCTGTACGACCAGGAGAGACGCATCCCCGTCTACTCTGCCTACCTCTACCAGCCTGGACCTGGCAAGAGACCTAAGACGTGGCTGGTCGAGCCCCAGGTGAGTGTCCTCTCTCACGGTGCATCACCCTCCAGGCCTTAAAAGATGAACTGCAGGGTTTTACCAAGCACTTGTTTTTCCTCCCCCCCCCATGCAAATGGCCCCACTGGATGAGATTCATCTCATCGAGCTTCAAACAGCTTCACCACAGGATTCCTCTGAGCCATCAGCAGGAGGATGAGATGAGTCAGACCCTAAAAGTGCCCGTTTTTCCACACTGGTCTCACGAGAACATTAAGTTAAATTATATTACACAGCATTAATTTACATGACTTTAAGTCCAATAACCCCCCTCCCTGTCCCATGCTGTGATGAGGGACCAAACGATGAGGAAAAGACATCCAAGAGCAGCTAAATCTGGGGGACCAGCTGTGCTGGGCTCTGCTCCCCACTGCACCCAGAGCTGCTTAAAAAAAGGTTGTTTGCTCCCAGTTCAGAGTCAGTTTGACTTTTTAGAGGGCATGAAGGAAGTGCAGAGAAACCCAGAACTGGGTGAGAGGACCCAGTGGAAAGTCCAGGCAGGGACACACAGCGATGAGAGGACTAGATTAACACTGGGTGAATTTATTGAGTGATATTTCAGGCAATGAACAGTGAGAAGAATCAGTATCAGAGGTGCATGATCTCCATCTACCTGCAGCTGCCCCTTAGCACCATTGCCTCAGGCTTAGTTCAGAAGGTTCCATCACCCACACAGATCTCTGCAAACTACAGAGGCCTCCCAAACATGCTTCTGAAAAATCTTCAGCAAAAATGAAACCCAAGCAAATTATGGAAGAGAAGAAAAGGATATCCAGGTCATTGCTAGAGAGTAGCAATAGGGAATTTAGGTGAAAATGAGCCACAGAAGAAAGCCATATGCCCTGTTCCAGGGGAAGGCTGAATAAGTTTCCATAAATATCAGAAAGAAAGGTGTCATGGTTATGAAAAAGAGCATTTGCACTTGTTACTTGTAGGAACTTGAGCAACTCATTTGGTGTTGCACCACTGCAGCCTCCACATTTAGGGGGGATAAAAACTTGTCTTTTCTTCCTGGACCATGGACTCAGGCTGACTGTGAAATCTAGGAGTGGCTAACTTTCTTCAGAGGTCTTTTTGCAGTATTAAAGTTCTCTTTGGGGAGTATGAGCTCCTTTAAGAGGCTTTAACTTCTTTTCAGTGATGGAACACGTTCTGCTCCCTGACCCAGGCAGCTCTGAGACACGTTATTAGCACTGCAGTAGCAGATCCCACTTGCATGGGGGTAGCTTTGTTTGCTGAGCAAAAAAACTTCCTTCTCCTGATGAGCTATAGCCCCTCCAGGGAAACCTCTCCTCTAGGACTGGGCTCCCAGCTGGTCTCCCTGTGTGTGGGGTCAGAGGAGCTGGTGTTCCTGGAGTGGGACACTCCTGCAGCAACCACATGTTCTTCTCCCCAAGTGAGGGGCAAAGGAAAAGAAGAGCAAAAGAGTCTGAGTCTTCTTCCCTGTGGGGTCCATGGCTCTTCTGCTCATCCTCTCACCATTATGTCTCCCTGCACGGACTCCCTGAGACACCCAATGTTCAGGGAGGATAACTGTGTGCTTGTCTTCTCTAAATGTGTGAAACTCCAGGGTCTTGAAAGGCTGGATTAAGAAAAGGGATTTAAATTTTTCACAGAGACTGAGAGAGCACTTGTGGCAAAGGGGCTGAAGGGAGCAAAGCCCAGAGCTGATGACACCATGATTAGATGCAGACGATGAAGGTTGGGTGTGATGGATGGGGCTGGGAGGAGCTTGAGAGAGCCCTGGGCAGATGTGGGATGTGAAGAAGGAAGGGAAGGGAACCAGATGTGGCAGGGGAGATGTCTCGCCAAAGTCACCTTTCAAACCTGGGAGTGGGAAGTGCTCGTTGTCTCCTGCAGCCACCTACACTCCCAGCAGAGGCTGCAGGCTGGATTCCAAAGGTCGCCAGTCAAATCGAGAAATCGAGAGCAGTCAGATTCTGAACTTTTCTTTTTTAATCTCTTGTGTTGGTTGGGGAGGGGCAGCTTTAGGATTTCTCTCTGATTCGTGCATTTTCATACGCTGAGATGACAACCAATGGGGTGCTCAGCACTCAGAGACTTCTGCTCCAGGGAAACCTGCTCCCCTCCTCCCATCTCCCATGCTAACACCTTTTCCTCTTCTCTATCTATCAAGCTGATGGGTTCAACTTACCCCAAAACTATGGAAAGAGAGTGGACCCTCTTAAAGTATTTCAACGTCAGCTTAGAGCAACTCAGCAAGAGCCAGGCCATCCTCCAAGACTACAAGAACCTGACAGGTTTGAACCGTGGCCATTTGAACCCCAGTGGCCACCACCACAACGCCAGCAGCAGGACGGCCACCTTCACCCTCACCAACATAGTGCCCCAGGATGCAAAACTCAACGGCGGCGCCTGGAACAACTACGAGCAGCAGACGATGATGAGGAAGACCCAGGGCTGTAACACCACCTACGTGGTCGTGGGGGCCGTGCCTGGGAGCAGCTCCATCGCCAAGGGGAGGGTTAACAGACCCAGCCACCTCTGGTCCAGTGCCTGCTGCGAGGTGGACACCAAGCACAGGAAGGCTTGGGGGGTGATCGCTGAGAATGACAGGAACGAGGTGGAGCTGCTCACGCTGGGGGAGCTGGAGGAGGTGCTGAGCCAGCTCTACGGGAGGGAGAAGGTCTCTCTGTTTGACAGTGACTGTCCCCGGGACTAAGCCCCACCTCACAGCCCGGGTGTAGAAGGCTCAGCTTGCCCCACATGTCCCGTGCACCATCCATCCTGCTTCCGTCTCTAGTTTTCCAGCTCTGTCTCTCAGAGCAGCTTCTCCTCTGAGAAAAGGGAGAGTGAGGTCAGCAGAGCCTGTAGCTGGTTTGCTTTGCTACCCACCATTGGAGGGAGCTCTCAGGGAGGTGTCCTTGCCTGGCCACTCTGGAGGGCAGGCTGGAGAGCAACCCCTGGGCAAGGAAGCCAGAGCTTCTCACTGAGACTAGGAGGGCTTTGCCTTTTTTTTCCATTTTTCTCCATGTCATATATCAGATTGTAGTTCCTTCCTCTCATTAGATACCACTGATAATGTGCTGCTGACTTGCCCTTCACCTCCCAAGGAAGGGTGTGGGTCTAGGATGGCTCAGGTTGCCCAAGGAGGTTGTGGAGTCTCCATCTCTGGAGATACTCAAAACCCAGCTGGACACAAGGCTGGACAACCTGCTCTAGCTGACCCTGCTTGAGCAGGAGTCTGGACTGGAGGACCTCAAGGGGTCACAACCAGCCTTCACGATTCTGTGATTCACCCTGGGATAAGGAAAGCAAAGAGCCCAAGGATTGCAGAGAATCTGTAAGGGTTATCCTACAAACACATTCTGACCAACAGCAAAGGGTAAAGGGAGAGAAGAAGGTGGAAAGGAGGAAGATAGCCACACATAAGAGGAACATCTCAGCTCTCCTGAGGTCTGTAAATAAACAAAACAAGAAGAAGGAAGGAAATAACCTGCATTAATCACTAGGCTCCCTATCCCTGAACGTACATGAAGAACATCCTTATGTAAATAGCCTTGCAAGTCTTTGGTTGGTTGGTTTTTGGCCCATGCACCTGAAGAGCAGGAGTGGAGGTGCCAGAGAGCCAGGCTCAGGGGTCAGACACACAGCAGGTTCTGACCAGTGAAAGAGAAATTTCTGTGATACAGTGCTTGGATAATTTCATTCTTTGCTCTGCTTCTGAACCTTCTCTGCAGATTTATGTACAGCTGATTCTGTGAAATGTATTCAAGGGGTGTAAAAGCTCAATCTATGTCACCTAATTTAGTCCTGGAGTAGTTTACAATAGAAATGATTTTTTCCAGTGCTGGACTGCAGGGTCACCTTACATGTGAACTCAAGTCTGCTTCTCACTGAAATTTCCACTACTACCTACAGCACCCTTGCAGGAGCAGGATGTCCAAATCCCATCTGAAGGTGCCACAACACCTACAGGAGTGTCCCCATCAGACTCCAGTCCCTTTTCCTATGGATGTGCATGAGCAAAGGGGGTCATGGTGCAAACAGCTCGTACAAACTGCCTCACCCCTGTGAGTCATCCCCCCTTCAGCTCCCTGGGCTCTCCCCAAAACCTTTTCCCCTGGCAGCATCCAGAAATGCTCTCCCCTCCACAAGCAAGTGTGTCAAATACATAAGAAGCCAAAAAAATAAACGAATCATCTTGGAGGCTGCCTTGCAGTAGGTACCAGGTGTGCTTCACACCAGAAACATCCTCCCAGGCAGCTTTATTTTGTTATTTACTCTGGTTTCTGCTGCTCCTGGCTATGGAATAGAGATACAGCCCTTTGGTGATCTCAGTTCATGCATCATAGGTGTGCCCCTGCTGGGGTGGGAAGCTCCTGTCTGCTGGGAAGATAGAGCTGCACTGAGATGGGAAGATAATTTTGCAGCTTCCTCTGTGTCTGTCCATCTTTAGGGAGAGCTCTGGGCACTAGTGGGTTGATGGGATTTTAGACACAAAGGAAAAATTATTTTCCTAGAATCATACAATGGTTTGGATTGGAAGGGACATTAAAGATCACCCAGTTCCAACCCCTGTGCCATGGGCAGGGACACCTCCCACTACACCAGGTTGCTCAAAGCCCCATCCAACCTGGTCTTGAACACTTCCAGTGATGGAGCACCCACAGCTTCCCTGGGCAACCTGTTCCAGTGTCTCACCACCCCCACAGTGAAGAACTTCCTCCTACTTTCTAGTCTACATTTCCCCTCTCTCAGTTTGAAGCCACTACCCCTCGTCCAATCACTACAAGCCCTTGTAAAAAAGTCCCTCCCCAGCTTTCTCCTAGGTCCCGTTCAGATACTGGAAGGCCACCAGAAGGTCTTCCTGGAGCCTTCTCCAGGCTGAACAACCCAAACTCTCTCAGCCTGTCCTCACAGCAGAGGGGTTCCACCCTCGGGTCATCTTCGTGGCCTCCTCTGGACCTGCTCCCACAGGTCCATGTCCTTGTCCTTTCCCAAAACCACCAACAGTTCCAACTCCTTGGGCTGAACAACAGGTTGCCACACCCTATCCCAAAAAAAGAAGGAAACAAGAAAATCAAGAGAGTGGCATCATCTGGCCATGGCTTGAGAGAGCAGCTGGGCAAAACTCCTTCGATATGCCCAAATTTTGAGCAGCTATAACATTTTGGAAGAGTAAATGCAATATGCTTCTTTGTGAAGCTCTCCAGGAGTGGCTCTGGCTGCCACATGGGGAAGGCTGGGAGCACCATAATAATAAATGTGGATCTATAAAAAGGAAAAAAATCATCCCACTAACCTAAGTGCTTTATCTTGCCAGGAGCTTTTAGAAGACAGGACTGTTCAGTTTATTGAAAAACAAACATCTCTATTTTCACATTTTATGCATCATTGTTGTAAGGTCATCAAATAATCTGGAAAGCCTGGAGACTTCAAAACCAATTATCCCTCTGGATTCTTCATCCAAATAGGTGAAATATTATTGTTGGCCAGTTAAGTGGAGGAAAAATGAATGAGGGATCTTTTCATCTCTGCAACATCTTCTGTCCAGTCTTTAGTGGCTTTTCTTGATTTAAAGTTGTCGTGGTTTGATCCCAACTGGAAACTAAGCCCCACCCAGCCGCTCGCTCACTCACCCCAGAGTGAGATGGGGAGAGAATTGGAAGGTTAAAAGTGAGAAAATTCATGAGCTGAGATAAAAACAGCTGAACAAGTAGAGCAAAAGCCACGCTTGCAAGCAAAGCGAGACAAGGAATCCATTCACCCCTTCCCATGGGCAGGGAGGTGTTCAGCCACCCCCAGGAGAGCTGGGCTCCATCACATGTAAGCTACTTGGGAAGACAAACACCATCACTCCAAAAGTTCCCCTTTCCTTCTTCTCCCCCCAGCTTTCCAGGCTGAGCATGGCATCATCAGGTCTGGAACATCCCTTTGGTCAGTTGGGGTCAGCTGTCCCAGCCGAGTCCCCTTCCAAAATCCTCCTGGATGTGATCCTGAGCACCTCAAGGTGGCCCTGCTTTAGGAATTAATAACATTTTTAACTGGGGAAGAGATTTAGCACTGGGTTAACACTGCACGTGCTGCAAGGCTGCATCTGACCAATTTTTACAGCTCTCAGGATACTTCCTGTGAATACTCTTGATATTATTTTTTAAAATATTTTCAGTATTTTAATATTTTCAGTATTTTAATATTTTCAGTATTTTAATTGTTCAGTATTTTAATTTTTCAGTATTTAAATGTTTTCTATTTTGTTCTATTTTCAGATCCAAGATGTCAGGTTTCCTATCAATTAATCTTTGCTTTCCAAGTCTCTCATTAGCTTCTGTAAAGTATAATAAATGTAGATTTGCACTCTGGTTTTGGCAAATTACACAACCACGTGTCTGTGGCACTCACCTTACTTGAATCTCATCTCTTTCTGAGTAACCACCTCACATTTTCTTCGTTCAGTAAATGAAGATATGATTTAACAGACTGCCTTGTATGTAAATGGCAAATAGTTATTTGCTCCTGAGGCTCTGAGATCTTGCTCTGCATGTTCAGAGCACTGGAGCAGAACTGGGACCAGTTTATGAAGTCACCTCAGTGCCACCGTTTCCAATTGATAAATCAAAGATGGAATTCTCTTCATTTGACTGTATGCTGTGACTTCAGGCTAAAAAGGAGAGCATAAAACCCTTCAGTTTTATGGTTTTCCTCTTAAACTGCCCTCAGTCAGAACTGTACTGAGGATTGGGGGAGTCTGAGCAGCGTGAAAACACTAAAAATTGGAGGAGGCAAAAACTTTTGGTTCTGAGCAGAGCGAGCTGGAAAACGGGGCTGCTCGTGCACAGGAAATTTTGTAATTTCAAAATGTGGTTTCAGTCTGAATCAGAACAAAACCCCAAGAGTTTCCAAATTCCCCTTGCAATGGAAATTCTGAGAATTCTGCTCTGGAAATGCTGAAGGAGGGTGTTTCAGAAACCCACCTCCCGCCTCGGAGCGGCTTTCTCGGCAGAGTGGCGGAGCTGCCACCAGCTTCCCTGAGGAGGTGGGAGGGTTCCTGGGGACAACGACAGTGACATCTCTCTGGAGCCTCTCCGAGGCTTGCCAGGCTCTGAGCATTGATCTGGGAGCCCATGGCCTTGCTGGACTTGTTGCCTGTTGCCCAGCTGGGTGCTGGTGGTCCCTCAGCTGGTTGAAGGGGTGTGTTAGGAGGATGGGGGAACCTGGAGGCTGTTGGTGGGGTGGAAGAACCAGTTTCCTTTCTTGCAAAAGGCTCAAATCCCTTATGCAGCAGCACTTTGCCCTGCAGTCATGGACTCCACCCTCCTCCCACGTGGACCTCCCCACCGTTGGGATGACACCTCCACAGTCTCTTGATTGAGAGGGTTGTGTTTAGTATGAGTATGAATGCCACGGCTTTAAAAATGGCATCTAGTTAGGGAATATCTTCTGAATTTCTCCTGCAGAAAGACTAGAGGAGAAAATAATCAGAGAATTAGAGACCTGGAAGTGACTGGTGGAGCTGCTGCTTGCTGGAGGGTTGAGGTCTTTGCCCACTTGCCTTTTCTCTGCCCAGCTGAGCACATATTTGCCCTGCCACGCTGTTATTCCTATAGATAAAGTAAAAACAAGTCTAGAAGATGTGGAGGCACGTTTGTCTTAGGGTGGCAGGAAATGTTTTCATCAGGTTTCTTCAGCAATGATTTTACAGAGGTGACAGATTCTGCAAGTCCTTGTGACTTCTAGGGCTGGGATCTGCCTCCCTTGTTGGGACATCTTAGAGTAGGTGTTTACACGTGGGGGCAATCCATCCTGCTGGGCACAAACCAGCCATGCTGCTTGGCTTCCAGCTGCCAGTTCAGAGGACAGGCCTCCCACAGGTCCTGTGTTGCAGCTTCCAGCCCTATGTAGGTGTCTCCAACACCCTCGTGTTCCTCAGATCATGGCAGGTACCTATCTTTAAGCAAGCAGACCAATCTGTAGGTGTTTCCATGCGAGCTGCTGTCTGAGCTCCCAGTAGAGTCAGTGACTGATGTGGTCCATGGGGTCTGTAAACTATTCAGCCTGGTTGGACACCTTCTTTTGATAGCTGAGTGTCTCTAGATTCCTCTTATCTCCACTGTGCTGGGAGCAGCTCACGTGGAGACGTGTATGAGGACACATATTGTGATGCCTTGCAATATACAGGCTGATGGAATTAATTGCTTCCATTATCCATTTTGGAGACATCATTGCCAGAAATCCTCTTGCCCAAATACTTTTCATTTCCTCCTGTGTTTTAACAGCTAGCTGTGATAATACATGTGGGATGTGAGCTCTAGCACAGGTCTTTAGAATAAACCTTCCTGTGACACATTCCTGAGTTGTGTTCTACCTTCTGTTAAAAGGAGAGGGTAAGGGAAAATAAATTGTGTCTTTTTCAAAGTTCAGATCAACACCCAGAAGAAAAAGCTGCCTTTCAAACATCCAGAACAATTTATTGGTACAGCTTATTAGTCATGCCATGCTGAGAAGATCAAAGATTCTCTGTGTAGACATGAATAGGTAGGAAAATTAAACCCTGTAACAGCTGACCAGTCTGTAGGCCACTATTGCTCATGGGTCCTTCACCAGCAGTGTGTGTCCCTTAATTTCCAAGAAACAAAGACAAAATGTTGAGAGAGAGAGAGACCCTGAGCCACGCTGGTTACAGAAAGGAGGACAAACCACTGGAGCAGTAGAGGACATGACTCTGCTCTTGCTATCTCCATAAAAATGTGCATGGTGGAGTAGGTGAAATATTTGCCTTCTCCAATGAAATGCCCTAAGCAGGACAAGTCATGCCAGCAGTAAGTCACTTGTGTCAACTCAGTGAAGCTGGAGAGCTTAGTGCCACTGCTGGCAGCCTTCAGAGCAGCTGTCAGGTGTGAAAACCCACCATCTACTGCAGAAGTACAGGTTGCTATTTGCTCCCTCATAAAATAACAGCATGTTGTAGATCAGTACACATCCATCTTTATAAAGATACAAATAAGTCCTATTCCAACAGGAATAAAAAAAAAAAAAGCCATGGGAAATATAAATGTCAAGGCTATGGAATGAGAATAACTCAACAGGAATACAAATCAATAAATCAATGACATATACACTGTCACAAAACAGAAAACTACACTAAGATCTCATGTCTCCTGAATTATAAGGATGGGATTCATCCAGTCTTGGTTTTGCTGTATTCCATGTAAACATCTATACATGATCTGGTCAATCTGGGCATCTCTGAGTCGAAGCAGAGAAACAACTGCCCTTAGACCATGAGTTATTTGGCTTATATATATATCTATCTGTGGCTTAAATAAATAAATATGCATAGATACACATATATATAGGCAACAAGGTGGGATGAGCTGCTTCCTAAAGGGAATTGTTCCTCCCCACTTTCTGTCTCAGACAGATGCTTGTGTTTTGTCACATGAACCCCATCCTGCCAGGCTGAGTGTGGCTGAAAAGAGGCAGAAGACTATTCAAACTTCACAAATGCCCAATAAAACCCATGTCAAGTGTTGTGTCTGCTTGAGTCTGTCCTTAAGTGCCTCTGCACTGGGTTCTTTGGTGCAGCTGCAAAAGAAGCTGTCCAGTGAATCAGCTGCCACAATCTGCAGCATCCTTTTCTGAGCTGGAGGAGGAATGTAGTAAAGGCTGTGGAAGGGGCTAGTCCAAAATAGCTGGGAAGAGAGGGATGATGACAAAGGCATGTGAATACTGAACCATGAGGAAATCCAGGCAGATTTTCAGCTTATGTGCAGAGGGTAAATGGGTTTAGTTTCTTTTTCCAAGAGAAGTGGTGTGAGGAGAAGAAAACTATGATCATATTTGGTGAACATCAAGCATCCAGCAATCACCCTTTGGTGTGTGGGCTGTAATGATGGTGAGTGGTCCATATGAACACCTGGTCACCCTGGGGAGGCTGCAGCTATATTAGCAACGTATCTGCTCTGTGGTAGGAGGAGGAGAAGTGTTTTTAGGAAGCTGTTTCAGGCAGGACTCTTTTCCCATCTGTCAATGATGAGGTGCACCTCCTCCACCTGTATACTCTGTAGGTGGAAAGTCACTTTGTCACCATAAGGAATAAACCATAATATTTTCTGCCTCCTTCACACGTTGGATTTCAATGTCCAGGATTCCTCCTCATTTGCCATGTCTGGTTTTGGAGTCGCTGGTACAATCTGGTTTCTTCTGTGGCAGTTCCTCATTTTCATGAGTTTGGGTCCGAATGCTGCAGTTTTCTCAGAAGTCCTCACCACAGCAGGAAAAGGACTTTACTGCAGTTGGGGAAAAGCAGATGTTCTCTGCCTTCTTCTGTATTTACTATGAGAAACCACACAGTACTTTTTGCAGAGGACACCACATAGCATCATAGTTACTGTTTCATTTGGTATTGGCTATTTCATCACTTACTCCACCACCACAGGGCCAGTGACATGTAGATCATTCTTGACAATTTTTCACCTCTCATATTCTCAGAAATCCTACAATGGCACAAGCAATCTGCACTATCTTCCCTAAAAGATGTTTCAAAGCACTGTCTACACTTTCTATGGCTTTACCCTGTTGTGTATTGGCAATAAAAGCATTGCTGATGTGGTTTCACAAGGTCCTCCCCTCCTCCTTTTTCAGAAAAACTCCATTCAGCTAAGAAGCAGGACCCATCAGCAATTAGTAAGGAACATGAAGAGAAATGGGGATGAGGATTATCAAAGATAGATGAGAAAAGGAGAACTCCCCAGTGTCAAATAAGGACACCTTGGATTGACTAGGCTGGGGAGCCTGTGAACAGGAACAGCCTTGGTGCATCTCTGTGGAGTAATAGAAACAGTGAGCAGCCCAGGCTAAAATAAGTCTGAGGCACAAAACTGTCACGACAAGTCTGAGAAATCAGGGGGGTGAAGGAAGGAGAATTACGTGGTCGTGGTGACAGATGCTCTCTCAGACTTCCCACAGCTTAGCCAGGGAGAAAAAGACTGATTGCATCACCTAGCTGAAACCAACATATTTGCATCATTAACCTTAATTTCCCCGTGGGATTAATTTTACACTCATAATTGGATGTGCCATTCTCAGCTCTACAATGCCTGGAACAAAAAAGTGCTTTTTGATTTCAAAAGCTCTGATTCTTTCTTTTCTTGTGCCCGTAGCTGAACCAGACAACCCAAAATCCAGGGTCATTTATTTAATACCAATGAAGGTGTTCAGAAATCTAAGCAGTGCAGTAGTGAGGTGGCTGATCCAGCTGGTAGCTCTTCTGCTGCTAGGGACTTTTTTTTTTTGAGATTTCACATTTTCCTGCTTCTGTCTCACTTACCATATCCTCTGCTCAGTGAGTCACACAAAGACAGCAGGGATGATAAGCAGAACAAAACAGACAGCTGTGAAAACAGAAAATCAACATGCTTAGCACCTGGTTTTATCTTAATTGTTGCAGTTATTCTAATTGGGAGAAAGAGGCAAGGCTTGGGATGGGGTCTCATCTTGTCCCTATGCCCAGAGGCAACAGTTCTTCCATGTTGTGCCATCACTGTGCTCCGTGGGGCAAATAGGACCCAGGCAGAAGAGATCTGGGCAACTAGAGATAGGCCAGAGCCAAATAAACAGGGACACTGATGGTGCAGTCTCAGGCCTAGTTCAGAATATTCCTCCTTCCCTTCCTTTATCTCACACCATTATTCCTCCTTACCATAATGTGTGCTACAGTTGTCAGCAGACTCCAGCTGGAATCAAGAGCCCTTGTACAAAGTCTTGAACATATGCACAGTAAGAGACAATTTCTATTTTAGCAGCTAATAGCTGAATGGAAGATGGGGAAGGGGGAGAAGAAAATCTCTTGAGACTGATTTAAATGCATCCGTTTAGCTGTGAGGAAATGTTTTATTTGCCCATCTTTTTTCTACTCCTTTGCAAATGTGACAGAAACACATCATTTAAATATTTGCATTTTCTTCCAGTGAAAGTTATTCTCTGAATTCATGGAAAGTCTCAGAGAAAGAATCTCAAAATTGCTTCATTTAAAAACTAGACTTTTGGTTGATCTTTTTTTTCTTTCACGTCCCTTTTGAGTCTTGGAAAACTTCCTGATAAAAAGCTTAAGTGCTTAAACAGTCTCTGTTTACACTTTCTTTACTGACTTCTTACCTGATCCATGGACATAAATGTGTTTTGCAGGATATTTATTAGCTCTTAGAGCAGAGATGGATCTCTTTGGTAGGACAGCACACTAAAAAGGCAGAATAACTGTTCTGAGGGATGGGGTGAAGTTGGAGCCAGGCTAACAAACCAACATACCTGTCAGTGGCAGTATCACAGATGAGGAAATGGATGGATGAGTCGAATCTGTGGAGAGAGAGAGTCTTGATTTTTGTATTGTATCTCTTCTGGCAAAGAACATCGAGGCAGTGATGAGGAGAGTCAGGTGAAGAGCCAGCTGGTCCCAGCACCCCAGCAGTGACGAGGGTAGAGTCTGACAGCTTCTGCACAGAGGACTTAACAACTGCCAGGTTTGCTTCTTGGCCATCAGTAGATGTTTCCAGCCTGGGTGTCAGCATGTGTGCTGGGCTGATAACTTTTAATGGTGGGCATGAAGTGAGCTGTAACTTCCAGGGAAAGGGATCCAGATAAGATCTTTATTTCACATGAGGTTGGGAAGGATGGCTTTCACGGTGCTAAACTAGGATTTAGAAACATGGCTTCAAACAAGACCTCTTTCCCCCCAGAACTGCAAGCCAAAACTTCCCTGGTGCAATAAATTAACTGAATGTCTCCCTTTTCCTGAAAACAAAGCTCTGGACTTGAGCCAATATGAGATCACAGAATCATAGAATAGGAGGGGTTGGAAGGGACATTAAAGATCACCTAGTTCCAACCCCTGTGCCATAGGCAGGGACACCTCCCACTACACCAGGTTGCTCAGAGCCCCATCCAGCCTGGCCTTCAATACTTCCAGGGATGGGGCCATCCACAGCTTCCCTGGCCAGCCTGTTCCAGTGTCTCACCACCCTCACAGTGAAGAGCTTCTTCCTGATGTGTGGTCTAAATCCAACTCTGGATCCTAAAACCCTGAGCAATCATGAGGGATACTTAGATGCACCTTCTGGAGAACATTACTGTGAAGTGACAAAAGGTGACCCACAGCTGCCAGAAGGAAGGAGAAAGTCTAATTCTACTATTTTCTTCCCAGTATAGGACAGAGTGGCTCTATCTGCTCACACATTCCTGCAGTTCTGTTAGTATGAAAGGACACGCAAGACAAAGTAGGATGCAGCTATGTCCTCCCCAGAGATGTCTCCATCAGCCAGAGATGACATCTCCCCCATTCTCAGAGCCCTGAGGTCACTGATCTCTCCATCCTGAACCCCAAGCAGATCGTTCCTAAGACTGATGTGCTGAGTTGGGGGGTCTGGCCCCTGCATGAACAGGTCATGGCACCGACGTGATGCCAAAGCAACCATCTTACCTTGTCCAATAGCCTGGGGCAGCCACTTATCACTTTCATTGGTGCACTGCATGTCAAGGGAGGTCCAGATGACTTTGTCACCCTCCTTCTTGCACGTGAGGGTGCCAGAGGTGGGGGGTCGCTTGTCATAACCACTCTGGCATTTGATATGTAATACTTGTCCCACGAGGTACTGCCTGGGCAGGCCTAACGAGGCGTGTGGATTGCTCTTGGGAGGACCACAAAAACCTGTAGGATCACAGGGCAGCACAGGGTTACAGCAAATAGATTTTACTCACTGCTTTTGGTCTTGAAACAACGTGATTGGTATTATTCCAAAATATAGAGAAGATACCAAGTCTTCCTAATTCTTTGTTAGGGTATAAAATATTCATCTGATTACTCATTCATAGGATTAATCCATTAGATATGGCACTTGGGGGCATGGTTTAATGGTTATGGTAGTGTTTGATGGTTGGACCTGATGATCTTAGAGGTCTTTTCCAACCTTAATGGTTCTATGATTCCATATCACTTGTTCAGCCAAGATACTACAGCAATTATTTCTTTCTCTCTGTCAAAATAATTAAAAATTACTCATCATTCTTACCCTGCTTCCACAGAAATCAGTGAAATAAGTGTTACAGTAATGAATAGGCTCTTACCTACCTTTGTGGTCAAACTCTGAAAGGTTTTCTTGCTTCTGGGGTGCAGGGCTCTGGTTTTTTCTTTCTGGCTTCTGTGTAAAATGGAACTCCATCGTGGGAGCCGTTGACAACAGGATTTTCTCATCTGTGAGGGAAGTTTTGTTGCCTGAGTTACAGCAGGACAAATAGCAGAGCAACGCCAGAGCACTCAGGCTTTTAGAGGCAGGACAGGATTGTTGGAAGTTCTAACTTGCAAAGACAAGTGCAGAAGATCATTTCTTAGAGCAATGCCCAGATGTGTCTTGTATCAACTAACTCATTGGAGAAACGCCTCCTGTGATGGACACACCTCTACAAGTGCAGGAAAAGGACAACAGTCACTTACCAATGCATTCAAATTCCTTGTAGACCCATGAAGCAACGTCCTGTGTACTCTGACACGAAATCCCTGGGTACTGGCCACTCCTTCTTCTGTAGCCACTGTCACATTCATAATACAGTTTGGTCCCCACTGGGTACATTTCAGCAGTAACATCAGCAAAGTCAGGCCTTGGAAGAGCTGGGCAATTTTCTGCAAGCAGAAAGCCTGAGAATCAGGACAGCCTGTCCATCTACATTATCCACCAAGGACTTCCCACTTCCTTCTGTCTTCTCAGTGCTAGGTCATGCCTAGTGAAATAAGCCTCATTCTGCTCCCAGCCACAGGGCTAAAATCACAGCTGAGGGATAAAACTGGATGTCAAGAAGGGAGCATGAGGGTAGCAAAGCTTTGTTCCTTTGATTGTCCCTAAGCCAAGGAGAGGCTCCAAGTGTCTGGTGAAACCGTTGGTGATTTTAAGTGAACATTTTTAATTCTAGAGCAATCCTCCCATCCCAGGTTCTTAGAGCCCTAATAGCTCAATGGTTGGACTTGATGATCTTGGAGGTCCCTTCCAACCTAAATGATTCTATGATTCTATGAACTACCTAAAGGGAGGATGTCAAGACAATGGGACCAGACTCTTCAGTGGTGCCCAGAGACAGGACAAGGGGCAATGGACACAAACTGGAACAGAGGAAGTTGCATCTAAACATAAGGAAAAACTTCTTTGCTTTGAAGGTGATGGAGCCGTGGACCAGGCTGCTGCCCAGAGAGGTTGTGGAGTCTCATTCTGTGGAGATATTCCAAACCTGCTTGGACACCATCCTGGGCAACCTGGTCTAGGTGACCCTGCTGGAGCAGGAGGGTTGGATGACATGATCTCCAGAGATCCCTTCCAACCCCCACCATTCTGTGATGGTGTGATGCAGCGATCCAAAACCTTTTCAGGTTCAAGTTAGTTGTTGCTATTGATTTTGTAAGAATAGATTTATTCAGGATGCAGAAAAATCCTTTGGGGGTGTCTCCACCACGTGACACAAAACCTGGATTTGCCCTTGGTTTTTTAGTTAGGAGGGGCTGACTCAACTCTTCTTGTGTTTCTTGTAGAGGAGAAAGGCTGCTGGAGCAAGGTTGTTCTGCAGCAGCTGGGACTGGTGGTGGGAGGCACCAGGAACTCTGTGCCTGCTCCTGCCCAAAGCAGGCTGTTGAGCCCTTGCTTTCTGCACCCAGCAGATGGGCAGCACGAAACTCTCCCAACATTTCCTTAATGAAGCTGTGCACGACTGTGCTGCAGAGCAGCTGCGTGCACCAGAGTGTGCAGCCCTCAGACCATGCAGTGAGGCATGACAAGCAAAACTAAGCCAGGAAAAGTTGCCACCATCTACGAGCAGCCACTGGAAATGGGGAGTAGACTCTCTGCTCTGGCTGAGCGCACCAAAGAGCAGCTCACTGTGAAATAAGTTTGCAAACCTAAATATAACTTGTCCCAAAACAAGGTCGTGAAGTGCTGTGTCATCAGCAAATCACATCTAATTATACTTCTCAATCAGTCGGAATGAATTAAGTTAGAGCATTTCAGTGCACTTGAAAAGCCCACTGAAGCTGAGCTGGAGACCCAGAAGTTTATAAAGGCACTACTTGATTATTTGAGGCCTGAAGGTTGAGAAATTCTAAGAGAAAACAGGCTGGCTGCATCAGGGCTGGCATCTGGGAGCTTGGGGTGCATGATCTGTGGCCCTTTATGCTTATGTGTGATAGTTACAACTATTAGGAGTAAAATTTCTTAGTCATCACATTTCCACATTTTCCAGAGCCATAATTAATGCAGCCTTAGCAGCTAGCAAGAATGACTGTGAAAAGGCCTTGAATTCCTGAGAGCTGCTCATCATCTGGTGCCTGCCCTTGACTCCCAAAGTGCCTTCTTCATGAAGCAAAGCCACCTTTTGCCTACAGCAACCCAGTCAGTGACTCCTAGACCCAGTCCTGCAGTGTCCTTTTCTTTTGGGGCCACCCATCATCTTCTCACTTTGATATTCTCTGTCCTTTTTACTTTTCATCATCTTGCTGCTTAGTAGAAGTCACCCAATTTGAAGAAGGCAACAATGAAAAGTATTGGGAGCAGCTTCAGAGCTGAGCTGTGTCAGGGCTGGTTTAATCCCCTTGTATCTTTGTGTTATCAAAGGGTTCACCCTGTAAACTACATCAGACTGTGGCTTCGAGAGGAGAGGCTGTACCCGAAATAGTTAACCACAGGCTTTACCACAGACTGTCAGGGTGATTAAAATTAAAGGGTTATCAGATTAGCAGCAAGTTGAGATCGTGTACTCTCACTTTCCCTGCAAGCTAAAAGCATGTTTCCCTCCAGACTTCAAAAGCCTCTTTGAAGCAGATTGCAGATCTGAATCTCAGTACGAGGCACCCAAACCTACAACTCTTTAGTCTCTTCTGAAGAAAACCCACAGCACTCAATCTGCTCATCCTAAAGGGCAACCATTGTTTTAATCAATGAGCAAATAGAGAATCATAGCATCACTTTGGTTGGAAAATACCTTTAAGATCATCAATTCCAACCATTAACCCTACTCTACCATACTCTACCAAATCCTCCTCTAAGCCATAATGGACAAATGAAGTTAAGGTTCTTCTGAACTTATAGAATCATAGAATCTTTTAGGTTGGAAGAGACCTTTAGGATCATCAAGTCCAACCATTAAGTCAACACTACTAAGTCCTCTGCTAAAACAGATCAGAATCTGTCAGGGTTGGAAGGGACCACAAGGATCCCCCAGTTCCAACCCCTCTGCCATGAGCAGGGACACCTCCCACTAGATCAGGCTGCCCAGAGCCTCCTCCAGCCTGGCCTTAAAGACCCCCAGGGATGGGGCCTCAACCACCTCCCTGGGCAACCCATTCCAGGGTCTCACCACTCTCATGGGGAAGAACTTCTTCCTCACATCCAGCCTGAATCTGCCCACTGCCAGCTTTGCCCCATTCCCCCTAGTCCTGTGCACATGGGTGATGGTGAGTACTGGGCTGGTGCTCTTGGTTCAACTCATCCACATTTCAGCTGGCTCTCATACAACATTCCTAGGATCCAGCTTTTTTATTTCACCCACATCACTCAAATTCTCATCTTCTCACACCTAAACCAACTCAGTGTCTGCTTCTTTGGCCTTTAAAACCATATTCCTGTCTCTGATCCAGGAAACATTTGAAAAGATGCATTTCCTAGGTCTCATTGTGACCTTCTCCTTGCTTCTCTCTGTTGACTTGTAACTGCTTCACTGTCATGTCAAATATTTTTCTCCCATTTTGAAGAACGTTATTCTTATCAGCCATCACAAACTTCCAAATCATTGCCTTCTTTTCCCATGCTAGACCTCCTCACCAACATATTTGATATGAAAGCCACCAGCTTTTGGGTTTATTGTACTAGTCCTCACACTGAGAGGAACCATGAGTGAATATGGACATTTCAAGATACCCATTGCCATTATTTCTCTTCATCATTTTTAAGTATCTTACCTCTCTTCAAAAGTGCTTTTATTTAAGTAATCTTCATCTATCTTTCCAGAACAGGTAGGCACCCAACATGCTGGTGGGCATTACTTCTCTACTTGCTTGCCTTACAATTGAACCCTAAAGCTCTGTGTTGCTCAGCAATTTTTACCATGCTTATACAAATGAGTTCTAATTATCAGCCAGGACTCCAGGCATCATAGCACTAGATGTGATAATAATCAGAGGTTCAAGCTAATTGCTGTATTCAAACTCCAATCAGGGAAGAACAAGAACCTCCCAAAGCTGCAGAGGCCAGAGGTGGTGACATGAGGTGTGCTGGACCTCTTGGGATAGTGTGAGGAGACTGTGCAGAGAGGAATCCACCCTACTGAGGTCTGGACCCTATTGCCTACAGAGAATGACCTCTGCAGTGAATCACCCCTGAAGCTTCATTCAGCCTTTGTGCCTGAGGAAACTGTGTGGTCTGCCCCTAAAAAATCCACATCCCTGCCATGTGGGTGAGTCAAAAGAGTCAAGGGATGGGAAGACACCAGGGAACTAGGGACTCTGTGTCATTCACAGGGTAGATTTGCTCCTTGACTACATTTCTGACTTTTTACATTTTTAGGGGAGATTAACTTTGCCTTTTTTGCAGTTTTGCACCTAGCTGGGAATTAGCTGGTCAGTTCTTTTGAGTTGTTTTGATATAAAAATATAAATCTTATAGAAGGCCACCACACCTGGGTGTGACCTGTCTCATAGCCTCTGGTGGCCCAGTTTGTAGGGCCCAGTTTCACACTGCATTCTACATCCCTCCACAACTTCTCCAGGGCTACACTCCTGCTGGTGCTGGTTTAAAAGTCTGTCCTCACATCCCCTTCAAACCCCCTGGGGTGTTGTTTGCCTCCTCATTTTCCCTCCCCACATCCTCCAGTTCTCCATCCCCACGACCAAGTGCTACGTGTCCTTATTTCCTTCTCTTTCAATCCCAATGTCCTCTGTCTTCCCTTTCCATCATCCACAAGCCCCCATTCTTATCTCCTACACCCCAAAAGTGCCCTGTGACTCCATTTCTTTGGACTTTGAAGTGTTAACATGATGTACTGAAAGGAGCCAAACTGAGAGGTTGGTGTAATTGTGCCCATGGGGTTTAGCACTGCCACTGGTTGCAGAGTTGCTAGAACATGTAGCTCTCCTAAGGCAGCTGGGAACCTGTGTTTCTCCCCATATTCATGGATTTTTTTGGTGCCTACAGAATTTCTAGAAATTTTGGAACTTGTTTCAAATATATAGTGGAGGGAGACAAGCCCTTGGAATCAGAAGGGAACTAGTGAAGTCAAATTATAGACATCCATGAAATATAAAAGTTATAAAGTAATCATCACATCTTCTGCTGTGCTCCCAAAATTAAGTTTTCTGAGACCTGCAAGACACTCCTTGTCATCTGAGCCACAAGATAGATGGGACTCCTGCTATTCCTTCTTAAGCAAGGGTGCCTGATGCCATTTGAGGTGTCTGAGGGCATCTGGGACCACCTCATAAGCTGTCAGATATCACAGAGGAGTTATTGAGGCTGGTGCCAGGCAGAATACCCTGCATGCCCTGTCATTTGTGAGTTCATTGACATGTGCTGAATAAAGTTTGATTGCCTTTGGTTACCCTCAGCATTTAGGCTCAGGGGAAAGAAACCCACTAGTTAAATCACCATC